AGCTAGGTTTCCCAAAACTACCCCATCTTCGCTTGAATGAATTCCCAACACTGTCCCACTAAAATGTGAATATATCCAAGTACTTATGGAATTTGAAAATGGTATTGGTACCATTGGAAAGCTGACCCAAAATTCTTGAAATTTGACTCAAGAATGACTCCATTTGGATTTGAAACAAGGAAGTTATAACCATTCAAAGTTTGAGTTAAAAAAAAAAAAAAAATCAAAGCAGCAAGGGAGTCGGCTCCTATTTTTAATGGAGCCACCTCCTTTGCTGAAGGAGCCGGCTCCTACTCCAAGGAAGCCACCTCCATGGTGTATTTTGGATGAAAAATGGCTACTGGACTAAAAAGAGCCGACTCCTAATGGGGGAAAGCCGGCTCCCAACCTGGGAGGTCTGAAATTTGATGCTTTAAATGTACTTCATGCTAAACTTTCAATCCTCTTTACCCAACATACATGAATGGAAGAAAAATATTTAATTTGACAAGCTAACTCCTAGAATTCTATAACATGGCGATGCAAAGAAACTTTGATTTTGTCATACATTCATCACATTGATCCTGCCACAATGTTCATAGACAAAATGAGTCAAATTACATCATTTAGAAAGCTATAACCCTCAAAAGAAGGTGGAAATCCGAATTAGACCTCGAAAGATGGTGCCAAGGGTCTCAAAACTATTTCCACCCTAAGTTAATATGTTGCATTACGAATAAACATTACAACAAAATGTCTCAAAATATATATCTTAGTTCATTTTATATAACAAAATGGGAATAAATACATCGAATACAAGTGAGACCCAAGTTCCTTCCAATCCATTTAAACTTATGGGGGATTATCGTCCGCCACTTCTTTTTCGTGTCCTGAAAATATAAATAAAATGGGGTGAACCAACTGCTCAGTTGGAAGTGTCTACGACACACCTCTTACGACCCCGTGAATCCACATAAAGCATAGAGTACAAGTAACGGGATCATACTTCTAAAAATAAATAATGTAACAACAACTCAACCAGAACGTATACAAATTATCTGTCTGCCAGACATACAACATATGCCAATGAAGTGTAACGTCATACAATGTCACTCTTCATTTCCGAAACAATGTCGTTTAACCTTTTCAAAGCGTTAGTGCAATCCGACCCATGACAACTCCATGGCGTCACGAGAGGAGGATTGGTTGGCTATCCCTGACCATATGGCAACTTCAAGGCATCGTTAAAGGGCCTAGGAAACTCAACCACGCTAGGGCCTCTCCATAGTCCCCTCTAGACCACACTAACACCATAGACCACTAAGCGACTCATAGGCGTCCGGGTTTTCGTAAACATTTTTTAAAAACAATTCCCCAAAATGAATTTCATTACTTTTTATAACAAACTTCCCTTTCTTTCCCAATGAGGTGCATGAATGTCACATATTATAACCAAGCAAGACAATTCATAACCTTCCATGATGCGTAATCAACTATAACAACATAACATGCTTTTATACGAATTTTAGAAATAGCTAACATGCACTCATACAATAAATCCAACATATACATACACAATTTTGTCATCTAAATACACCTCATCACAAAATCACAATTAGCACATGGCATACTCATTTTATACAATAAAATTTCATATACAACATTTGTATCACATCTCAAGGGTTTAACACCAATTAAGCATGCTAGTACCAAATTAAGGAGGGAAAAATCCACTGAGGACAAGGATTACATGAATTAGAGCACCCCTACCTCAACTTAGAAGCAAAAGCCCCAAAATCCCAAGATTTTCAAAATTCCACGGTTGGCTGAATGGTGCTTTGCTCCGATCAATCCAAAGCCCTTATTACACTCGTTGACTTTGCCTTCAATTGTAAAGTCTAAATCTCAACAGTTTGGAAGATATCAAAGCTTGAAGATTGTGAAAGAAAAAGGAAAAGGAAAGTTGTGGAGAGAGAAAGTGTGAGAATTTGATGAGCATAAATGGCCTTTTGACCATTAAAGGAAAGAAATAATGGTGGGTCCCGCCATTAAACATAAAAAAAATCTCACTCTTTCATTATAATATGTAAATATACACCAACTAAATTACAACCACACAATTAAACATACAACCAAGTAAATAGGCACAACATAATAATGCATGAAATGTATTAATGGACTTGAGATACAACCCCCGTGCTCAACAACTCCAGTAGTGGGACTGCCTCTAGGCCTGAAAAATGAAAAATACTGAAATGGCGACCAATACATTTCCAAGAGTCTTGAACTCAAGAAAATGTCCCAACCACTCTCAGGACACACCTGGCACACCCCATGGTGTCTGGCATGCAAAACGAGAAAGGACGAATATATCCTCGAAAAAAATCAAAAAGTTCCAAAAAATGACGAAAATCAGAAACATTACACGCTCCTCCAATCTTCAACACAATGTCATTTCTTCCTCTCTAGCATGTTGTCGACTGTCTCTAACAAATCTCTGCAATATCTGCTATGAAACTCTAAACAAATCTTGCAACATCACTCCTCTGATCCCATCCCTTTCAACATCGATACATCATCGCTTCCTCTCTCTTACAGTGAAGGTTTCCAATAGATCTCTCTCTCAAATCTGTCTTTGGGTCCTGATGTATCAATTCCATTATAGTGTTGGGAAGATAAGAAGAATGTTCGGAGAATGCGAAAGTGATGCTCTTCGATCCATTGTCATTAGATCTAAAGCTACTATTTTTTTTTTTTTTTATTTATTTATTTATTTTTTTTTTCATTTTGGCTTGAAGGCGAGCTCGAGCCGAGTCGAGCTTGAGCTTGCCAAAATATTGGCGAGCCAAGTTCGAGCCTAGTTTAGCCAAGCTTGCCCTAGCACTCTCCTAAAATTGGCGAGTCGAGCCCGAGCAAGGCAAAGCTTGGCTTGGCTCATTTGCAGCCCTATATAGTTCTAAGGTCACGAAACTCATTTAACGCATATATATATATATATATATATATATATGCATCCAAACGTGGTCTAAGGTCACTCGTACGTCTAGAATCATGGTGTAGACAATATGAATCAAAAGTGTGTGCAAATACTCATACTAGTGTACAAAAATGGAGTCAAAATAACTTGCATTTAAATGGGAATGGCCTCATAACAAGTATTAAATATATGTTACATAGCGTAGAAATGACTCGGGAACTCTAAAAAATGCAAGTGAATTTCGGGGACATTTTCCTCATCAAAAGAATATTACATTCGGTCAAAAATAATACATGACCATGAGTACACATCCAAGATACATGTCCATTGCTACACATAGCATACAACAGAAAAGGAAATCCCCATCCGAGCTAGGGGTGAGAAGTCCCCTCTAGAATGATGTTCTTACCTGAAATTTTGTGTTATGTATGTGGAGAACTCCATTCAAATTTTATAAATTTTTAAATCCATTAACCTACTTAATCTTTCTCTTGAAGTTGTCTAAGCAAAAACGATCCAAATTTTGGTGATTTGTGAAAAAAGGAGGAAAGATGTTTTTTAATATTATTTGCTCTCAAATGATAATTATTAATATTCATGAATAGCTGTCAAAAAGTGTACTAAAGTAAAAAATTCATTAATTCAAAAAGGATTGAATGGTGAGAATTTTTAAAAGTAAAGCAACAAATAATTATAAATTTGCTTAAATAATACTAGAGTGGTTAGAATAGTAATTTTATTATTTTTATTATTATTGGTATTACAGTCTAATGTGTCCAGATTGATCAATGAAATGATTGGAGGTGAGAGAATTCCAACAGGGAGGGTTGATATGAAAGTCAACGCGGTTTAGTTGGATGCATGGATAATTTTCTTGTTACCAATTAAGCGTATTTGATATGGCAATTTAAATATCACTGAATATGATACATGTCACGTACTTAAAATGAGATAAAATTTTAAGTAACAGATATATCACTTATGACAGAATGTTGAACGTAAAAAAAATAAAATAAAATAAAATAAAAATAAAAATAAAAATAAAATTATTATTACTTAAAAGTTTCGGCACTAAAAATTTAGTTCTTAAAATTTTCAGTACTTAATTTTAAGTTTTATCAAACAACACCTGATTTGATAAAAAAAACAATGACTTATTCAAAGAAAAAATGCAGGATGTTGATGCAATATTTTGATGTAGAACTTATTGGTGAAGTCTATTTAATCCGCTTAAACTGTTCACGCAGTTTCGTTGCATGCAGGGAGTAGTAGCCTTGTTAATGGTACCAACACGTAGTGTGAAAAAAGACACTTAAGATCAAGTGATTTTGACGTAGATTTTTAACCCCCAAAAATACACACATGTACGTTCAGACATTTAAGCAAAAAAAAAAAAAAAGTAAATAATACTCTAGCGTGGTACCCGACTAATGAATAATGTAAAAACTCTCAAATTAACAATTGCCATTAGATTAAGACATTCTTGATTCTCACGAGGAATGATTTTCATAAAATGTAGACAAATCGTTTCATTTAACATCATAATTGCCGTCTAAACATCCTACTATTTCGCGATCGACATAGTACTAGAAAACAATACATCGTCATTGAAATGTATGGTTTAGGAACACAGCCAAGAGAGCATGAGAGTTTACTATTGCATTACGTAAAAAGTAATTTTTTACATGAGGATGATCCATTAGTTTAATCGCTGCGGACGTGTAGTTGATATAAACTATATTTGTATATAACTTCTAGTGATTTGGACGATGGAATCCTGCAGTCTTTCACATCATACCTAAGTAAACAATTAAACCTCAATGTTTAAAGACTTATTCAAAGTTCAAATATATATATATCTAATAAATTGAATTAGAAAAAGAGGGGAAGAAAAAGGAATAATTTGCTGACTAAGTAAACAATGACTTGCTAGTAAATGTAAATTAGAGAGAGATGTACCTTCCATTGCAATACTGCTAATACCAAACGCTATTGAAGTGACAAGTTGCATTGCAAGCATAGCAGCAAAGCTTCCTTACAAGCCATGGTTGTTTCTGAGACTTATCTCTTTAACATAAACATTTTCCTTTGCTTAATCCTTCCTTTTGTAGCTCCATTGTCCTTCAACTTCAACAGCTTCACTACCAATGATTTAAACATACACTATGAAAAAGCTTATGCAGCAAACAATGTAATCCAACTAACCAAAAACCAGCTTGGTGAAGATACGCTTGCAAGCATTGGCCGAGCCACGTATGCCAAGCCGTTGCACCTTTGGGACAAGGCCTCGAGAAACCTCACAGACTTCACTACCAATTTCACTTTCGTCATCAATTCGCTGAACGTAGCAGGTCGTAGTGATGGGCTCGCCTTCTTCCTTGCGCCTGCCGGAACAAAAATCCCTGATAATGCAACTGATGGCGGCGGCCTTGGCCTTACAAATGACTTCCAGATACTAAACTCATCCGATAATCCATTTGTCGCTGTGGAGTTTGATATTTATCAAAACCAATGGGACCCGGCACATGAGCATGTAGGTATTGACATCAACTCTATGAAATCTGTTACAAACATGTCATGGTGGGGGATTAGTACAAATATTAATGAAGGGAATATAAATGGTGCTTCGATTAGTTATAGTTCTGCTTCAAAAAATCTGACAGTTGTCTTCACTGGTTTTAGAAATAGAAGTAATGACCACCCTTTCGAAGAAATGCTTCAGTACACAGTTGATCTAAGGGATTACTTGCCAGAATGGGTTATATTTGGCTTTTCTGCTGCAACAGGAAACAAATCAGCTATACATACTATAAACTCTTGGAACTTCAGTTCAACAGATTTCAATCCTTACCGCAAATCAAGTAAAAGCCAGACAGGATTTGTGGTTGGATTGGCTATTGGCGGAGGTGTTTTAATTGGTATATTGAGTGTGGTTTTGTTCATCTTCTGGAAGAAGAAGCGCGGGGTTCAAAATGAAGATGATCATGTCTTAGATGTGTCCATGGTTGACAAATTTGAAAGAGGTGCAGGACCTAGGAAGTTTTCTTACAAGGACTTGGCTCGTGCCACCAATGACTTCGCGCAGGAAGAGAAACTCGGAGAGGGAGGGTTTGGTGGGGTTTACAGAGGTTTCTTGAGGGACTTAAACTCATATGTTGCTGTGAAAAGGGTGTCAAGGGGTTCAAAACAGGGTCTGAAGGAGTACACATCAGAAGTGATGATCATTAGTCGATTGAGGCATAGGAACTTGGTTCAACTCATTGGTTGGTGCCATGAAAGAGGAGATCTGCTACTTGTTTATGAGTTGATGCCTAATGGAAGTTTGGATTCCCATCTCTACAAAGAAGAAACCATGCTGGCATGGGCAGTGAGGTACAAAATTGCCCAAGGCGTAGCCTCTGCATTGCTTTATCTTCACGAAGAATGGGAACAATGCGTTCTGCATAGAGACATAAAGCCGAGCAACATTATGTTGGATTCGAATTTCAATGCCAAACTTGGGGATTTCGGGTTAGCTAGGCTTGTCGACCATGAGAAAGGATCACAAACAACAGTTTTGGCAGGGACCATAGGCTACATGGATCCTGAATGTATCAGCTCTTGCAAGGCCAGCAAAGAAACAGATGTCTATAGCTTCGGAGTTGTAGCATTGGAAATAGCATGTGGAAGAAAACCCATCAACATTAAGGCTAAAGAAGGTCGGATTAGCATCATAGAGTTGGTTTGGGAGCTCTATGGAATGGGAAAGCTTCTTGAAGCAGCTGACCCCAAACTATTTGCTGATTTTGATGAGCAAGAAATGGAACGCTTGATGATGGTTGGGCTTTGGTGTGCTCACCCAGATAACAAATCGAGGCCTTCAATCAGGCAAGCAATTCAGGTACTGAATTTTGAAGCTCCATTGCCAAGTCTTCCATCAAAAAAACCTGTGCCAACTTATGGAATGTTTCCTACATCTTCAGCTTCACTCTCTTCAGTTGCCACTGTTTCTGAGAGCAGCCAAATGAGTTCTATCATGACGCCGAGCCCTGATACATCTTCTGCAGTAGCTTCATCATCTGCATCACTTTTGAACACAAGATAAGTTATTGCTACAGAGAATATTTAGACCGAGATTTTCATGTGTTTGAGGTTTGTAAATTTTCTTTTTGGCATATCAAACACAGGAATCAAATTCTTCTTGATTATTATTATTATTTTCCTTTTTTTTTTCCAACTGCTGAGCAGTACTTGTTTAGTATTTCTATAAAGTTGTGGTCCGAAAATTATTTCGATCCGGGTAATGTAGCCCCAGGAAAAACTGGCCTTTTGTGTATTTTCCCTATTTTTTGACTCGTACAATATGAGGGCAAAAGGCCATAGGCCCGAACAAACCAAAAAGAAGACCCCGCCCGCATAGCCTAGCCCAAAATAAGACTGTTGCAACTATAACTATTGAAAAATTGTTGGAAGAGCAATGACCAAAGAACATATTGTTTGTTAGAATATATTCCATAATATATTATTACTGTGTATTGTTAGAATATATTCTATAATACATCATTACCATATATAGCATTACCTTATATGGTAGTTGTCTTAACCTACTCTCATTATCATATATAGCATTACCTTATATGGTAATGACTTACTCTCCACACATCACCTCTCCTATATAAACCCCCATATACTCTTGTATTAAATATTTCATACACATTAATACAATACAGATACTTTCTCTTATATCTAACTTGGTATTAGAGCCTTTCTGTAATGACCCAAAAATTCGGCATAACCTTTGTAGAAAAGAGTCCTTCTACAACCTGCTTAATGCATATGAAATGCAATGGCCTCACTTGGGCCTTCAAAACCGAACTAACATACTCCAACACACAACGAAAATAATAAACCTTCATCCAAAATCCATAACATCAACACCATCCTCAAAAAAATTCATCATCACCCCATTCATCCTCAAATATATCTAAACATAGCTATTACATGCATCATTGGCTATTCAAAAGATTTTAAAACCTGAGCTACAGAATAATTACACACCTGTAGCTCAGATGCTATTGTTGCAGGTCGAAGTTAGAGGTTTAAATACAAAATTTTTTGTTACCTTTGTGTATGTCAAAAACACACCTTTTGAGAGGGAGAGTCTGTGGAGGGATCTTGAGGAGAGTGTTCCTTTAATCACTGGACCATGGTTTGTTGATGGCTGATTGGAATGTGATAAGAATGAATGATGAAAAAAAAGGAGGTAGAAGACACCCACCTAAAGTTTTTCCTGATTTTAACAAGACAATTGATAACTTATGCTTGACAGATGTGCCAACTTCTAATGGTTTATATACCTGGTGTAATAAGAGATTTTCCAATTGGAGAATATATGCAAAATTGGATAGGGGATTGATGAATGAAGATTGGGAGCAGGTTTTTCCAAACTCCTATATTGTGTTAACTCCTCCTTTAACTTCAAATCATTGGGGTTTGCGTATAGATTTCCCTTTACAGATTACTGGTGGTCCCAAACCTTTTAGATTCCTTTCTATATGGAATACTCAACCTGCTGTAAAAGACTTGATTGCTGATGTGTGGAAGATGAAAACAAGTAAAGGTCCTATCAAAAGGTTTTTGTACAAGTTGAAACTCACAAAACAAGCAGTTAGAAATTGGAATAAGGAAAAGTTTGGCTCTGTTTATTAAAAAGTTATTTCTTGTAGAAAGAAACTTATTGATTTGCAGCAACAGTTGAAGGATGATCCAATGAATGAAAGGCTTATTCAACAGGAGGATGAAGGAAGAATGTCTTTAGAAGCTGCCATCTCAAATGAATCAATTACTGTTGCTCAAAAATCAAGACTCAAGTGTGTGAAGGACCAAGATAGATGCTCTAAATTTTTTTTCCAGAAGATAAAACAACACAGGACTAGTAACAATGTTACAGCTATTTAAGAGGAAGAGGGTTTTATCGCTGATCCATTTACTATCAGATCTAGGTCTGTTGAACATTTTCAAAAGGCTTAGGCTAATGAGCATCCTATTAGCCACAGCTCTCACTCTGAAAAGAGTTCTGAATATGTTTGAAAAAGTGTCATGTTTAGCTGTTAACAAAGTCAAATCTGAATTGTACTTCACCAATTCAATTATAAGAAGAACAACAATGGTTAGAGCGCTGGGATGCAAAGTTGGAAGCCTTCCTTTTACTTATTTGGGACTTCCTATTTCTAATAAGATGTTGAAAAGAAGGGACTGTCTTAGTCTTATTGACAAAGTCATTGTTATTACTTCTAGATGGAATGGTATGCATATATCTTTGACTAGGAGAGTTGAACTTAGCAAAGCTGTCATCATCCCTATGGTTCATTATTGGACTTCGGTATATACACTTCCAGCTACGGTTGTTAATCTTATTGAAAAAAGAATGAGGAATTTTATTTGGGGGCATGTGGAAGATAGAAAGAAGATGCACGGGCTGTGTTGGAAGAAACTTGCTGCACCTAAAGAAGAAGGAGGGTTTGGTCTGAGAAAAATTGTGGACATTGATTCTAAATGTAATCTGGCCTGGGATTGCTTATTATCAAATGATATAATTTGGGTGGCTTGGTTTTAGAGGTGTTATGTAACGACCCGAACCTGGAGGCCCGAACCATTGGCTGGGTCCTTACTCGAACCCGAGGTTATCTACGTCAAACCTAACATTTCAAGTGTCACAACATCACCCTTAGGATCATCCCTAGGTCATCACTAGGCTTTCACGAAGTTCAAAACAAATCCCTAAGGTTCGAGAGATGGATACAGTGACGAGAAGAGCAAATTAAACCAAACAGACCCACTTCGGTCTTCCGAAGTGGAGCTTCGGTCGGCCGAAGCAAGCCCTTCCAAATTGGTCGACTGAAATCCCCCTTCGGTTGACCGAAGCAGAGATCCTGAGAGCATGTTTATGGTTAGGTCGACCGAACCCTATTTTGGTCGACCGAAACAAGAGATCCCGAGAGTCAACAAAGGGGTTCGGTCAACCGATACACCATTTCGGTCAAACGAAGTGGGTTCTTCGAGCCCTGTATCCTAAAACTAACATGCTATGCTTAGAAATGAACTGAAATGATTGTGGGAAGCTTTAGAATGATTCAAACGTGAGCTAAACCATAAAAAATGAAACATTTCAAGGTCATGAACCTGAGCACTACCACACAATCATCTTACAAGACCATTTATTACATTTACATGACATTAAACATAGTGCTTACATTAGTTCCATTTACATCAAAATGGATTTCAAGCTTCTAATTACATTATCCTTTACATACCAAATGAACTTAATACAATTTACATCATGTGCTTTACAAAATAAGTTCAAATTCTACCGAATACATTCAAAATGCTCTTCAAGTTCCCTCAGTTCTATAGTAGATTATTATCCACCAATTCCTTGCCATATCCTGAAAAAAATGTAGATATAATGGGGTGAGAAATTTGCTCAGCAGGTGGCATTTAAGATATGCCTCTTGTGTCCCCATGAATCCATATAAAGAATAGAGCAATAGGAGATGGGGATCATACAATATGATATAATGGAATGCAATGCGTGCCAATGTCACTCCCCATTTTCATCATTCAAAACCATCACTTTCAAACGGTTAAGATAACCCGCCCTTTGGTGACCCCGCAGCGACACGAGAGAAGGATTGGCTAGTGTCCCTGACCCTTGGTACCCCCACGACGTCATTTTGGGCCCACCTAGCTCAACCACACTAGGGCAATCTCCCTAATTCCCTCTAGGCTATATTAACCCTCTGGCTCTTTGGTGCCCCCGCGGCGACCGGGTTTTCATAAAACTATTTCATCAAAACACTTTCCCGAAATTCCCCATTTTCATTTCAAAACAATTCTCCCAATTTTTATACCCAATGCTAATGCATGGAAGCTTCAATGTCATGTCCATATTAACAATTCCATATCTAGCTCAAGATTAACTAGCAAAGTATAACTCATAAGAATTTGCAAGGAAATTATAACATGCTTACATACAAAAAAGTCTACCTTGTTAGATATATAGAGAATTCAACACATATGCATGCCCTTCACATAAAAACATTTAATACCCACAATTACACAATTAGCAAATACACACATCAACTAAACAATTAGCTACATACAACCCAAATTAAGCATGCTAAACAACCATTTGTGAGGAGTTAACTCACAAAAGCACAAGAATTTCATGGATTAAGGACCCCTACCTCAAATTGATGCAAAACCCTTAAAATGGGTCAAGAAATTCAAAATCCCTAGGGAGGCTCAAAGCTAAAATTGATGGTACTCATGCGTAGAGCTCATCCTGCTCTGCGTTTTGCCTTAAATGACACTCTAAAATTCCAAGTATTGAAGATGGAATCAATATTTGAAGTTTGCTTCCAAGAGAAAAGAAAAAAATGAAGAGAAAATAGAGAGAGAAAGAGAAGCTACGGGGAGAGAGAAAATGAGAAGGGAAATGTAGTCTCTAGACCACTTCTGAGATTATGGTGGGTCCCACCACTTTTGAATTTCTTTTCCCTTTTTCTTTTGTCTTGTATTTTACACCTCACATACATTTAAAATACAAACACCACCAAATAAACACAGAAAATTCAATTGGACCCATAAAAATTAAAGTGCACAAAATGCAATTGGACCCACCCACAAAATGTGAAAAGACAGAAATACCCTTGCACCAACGAATTTCCAGAAAATGCAAAATTATGAAAATTAGAAACATCACAATCTCCACAAATTAAAAGGATTTCGTCCCCGAAATGAAGCCATACTTGGGGAAGAAAACAAGTTTGGGTACTTGGAGCGAACCTATTGTTCAAGCTCCCAAGTAGCTTCTTCGACTCCGTGGTGCCTCCAAAGAACTTTCACTAATTGTACTGTCTTGCCCCTTAACACTTTTTGCCGTGTGTCATGGATCTGCACCGGTCCCTCTTCATAAGTGACATCCTCATCGATGATCACGTCAACCCAATCTAAAACATGAGATGGATCTAGTTCATACTTCCGTAGCATCGACACATGAAAAACATTATTGACCTTGTCCATCTTTGTTGGCAAAGCAAGTCT